TTTCAGACCTATCAAACATATTTGCAACAAGAAATATAATTTCTACAAAATATAATTTTCAAATATATATATAAAAAAAAGGATTTTGAATACCAAACGTTTGTTAGTATGTAATTCAACAAAGGATCATCATAATCGATTTTCTCACGTGTCAAACATAATTCTTAAAAATATTATATAAAATGATTTTCTCTCCAAATATCAGTTTGATTAAAAATGTTAAAAAATATCCATCAAGTCAAAAGGTTTCATAAACTTTATAAAAAAAAAACTTGTTTTCAAATAAAAAATCTTAATAACAAACTCATTTTTCTTAAAATCAATTTGAAACAAAAGTCATTTTATTTAAAATAAAATTTCATAAACATTCATCTAAATAAAATCCATTTATAATATGGAAATTTAAAAAAAAATAAGAAAATATTTTGATACAAAAGAAACTTTTTTGCAATCCTCTCGTCCTGCATAATCATCAACTCAAGCTTTTGTTTTTACCTTTTCTCTCCTTTTAACCTTCACAAATTGATGATCTCACTAGAAAGTCATTGGAGTGAATGATGATATTTGTTGCTTCAGCATAAAAGAGAGACACTTTCATTATTATTCTATCCACCAACGTGAATAACCACAAATATTAAAAAAACTGACATATGTATCAGGTTAATAATTTTCATTTTTGGTTTATATAAATTTGTCTTTTTTTTGTTTAAATAGTAATTAGAGGAAGTATCATATAATACATATTTTATAAGGATTTTATTATTTCGTAAAACAAATGTTAAATTTTACTTTGGTATTAATTTTCTTTTAAAATTATCATGTTAGTCTTTTTATTTTGTAAGCTAGTTCAATTTAATTTTTTATTTTTAAAATTTTATTTAATTTTATCAACTTTAATCACGAGAAAGAGAATCCAATAGATGGTGAAGAAATTCCAAATTGAATTTTCTGTGCAGAATGGCCTATGTTTAAAATTGTAAGTAAATAATAATAATAATAATAATAATAATGATAATAATTTATTTTTAATTATTGGTGTTCAAAATCGTAAAAATAAAAAAAAATAAAAATTGATTAAAACCCATTTTTTATTTTATTGTTTTATTACTTTTTTTTAACAGAAATCAGTTTGATTTTCTAATTTAAATTTATTTGATTAAAAATAATAATATATATTATTAAAAATTAAAATATAAAATCATTTTTACTGTAAATGAAACAATTAATTTCTTGTAAATTATAATATATATATATATATATATATATATATATATAGTAAATTGATTATGAAAGTAAATCAAAATTATGAATATTATAATTAATTATACAATATATTTTTTATTAAATAATTATTTTATTATAATATATTTAATACTTTTATAATAAAAAAGATAAAAATAGTATTGTTTAGATATTGGTTTATATTGTCAAGATATTGTTAATCACAATACCAAACAATATCTTCTATTTACTCTAGTTATTTTTTTATGTACTCTTTTAATTGTACCTATATTTATTATAAATTGATTACCGTATGTGAATTATACACAAGGTTATTTTAAAAAAAAAAATTGTATTCAACATGGTATCTAGAATTTAAGGTTATTTTGAAATTTTTGTCGCCTTTGTCCATTGTTACCATTGCCACTGCTACCGGGGCAGTTGCCACTGCCGCTGTCAGAGCCTTCATTGGAGCTGCCACTAGAGCCTTCGTTGGAGTCATCGCCAGAGTTTCATTTTTTACCAGTGACATACGGTTTTGCTCGTCTTGGTCAGGGGACCACCGTATAATTGAGATCACCACTATCGGAGTTGGTTGTCCATTGTCTTCAGCGTTGTTTAGTCTTGACAGATGTGTTTTGATCTTCTTGTTTTGGATCTGTGTTTTGTGGGTTGATTGGACTACTTTGAATTTTTTTTTTTTCGATTTGTTCTACCTCCCATTATGACTTTTTCTGCTCCTTCTACTACTTCCAATTTGTCAGTATTGTGTCTAATCCTTCCGTCAGTTAACCCTAATTATGTCACATGGTCATCAGACATCAGATTATGACTTAAGAGTCAACGGTATCTTTATCATCTTGTCCCAAAAGCACCTACTTTCACTCCTGTTGGGGAAGACCATTGATGCTCAATTATGTGTGGTTCTCAACAGTACTCTAGATCCTTCGTTAAAGCAGATTTTTTGTTTCTATGAAACGTATGCTAAAATTTGGTAACATGCCAAGTTATTATATACCAATGATACTCAATGTCCTTATGGTGTTTGTTCTAAATTTGCAGATCTTATTGCCTTTAAATATCAAGACTATATGACTGATTATATGGGCAAAAATTGTGTTCTTTTTCATGAGTTCAATGAGTTATTGTCTCCTTCCCCCGACCCTACCACCGAGATAACATAACGATCAAAGTTTTTCATGTTAGGGGCATTACACGGACTTGCTGATCAATATTCACATATTCGTGATCATTGGATTCCCCGGTTGTCCCCACCTTGACTTCGATCTACTCTACTCTTTTGCGTGTACCAGCAAAACACAACCAACCCTGATACACTTGCTTATGTTAATGATTCTTCTGCGTTGGCATCTCACCATGATGACCGGACTCGCCCTCTCAAACAGGGAAAATAACGTCCTAAATGTGAACATTGTGGCAAGCTAGGTCACAAGATTGACTAATGTTATGCATTACATGAGCTTGAACATTGTGGCAAGCTATGTCACAAGATTGACAAGTGTTATGCATTATATGGTCGTCCCCCTCGATCTGTTGCAGTTGTTTAGACCGATCTTTCCCCACCTTTGTCTGCTGGGGACGCTCCTTTTTCTATTTCATCTAACACACCTACTATGTTCAACAAATTTCTCAAATGGTATAAGGATCAACAGTCTTCTAGTTCCACTGTGTTTGTCGCACACACAGGTACATCTTTTGCTGGTCTGACCCAATCTTCTTCTCTTGGTCCTTGGATTTTTTATTCAGAAGTCACTGATCATATTACTAGTAACAAATCTTTGTTCTCCTCTTTATCCTCTCCTAATCCTTTACCTTTTGTTACACTGGCTGATGGCTCTAGAGTATCGTCACATGGTGTTGGAACTGTTCAATGTTTCCCTACTTAATTACTGATAATATTCTTTATGTCCCTGGGTGTCCTTTTAACATGTTGTCCATCAATTGTCTGACTCGTTCTCTTGATTGTGTTGTTGTTTTTTTTACCAACAATTCTATGTGTTTACAGGATCGAAGGTGATTGACACAAGATGTGAGTCTCATGGTCTTTATCATCTCCTTCCCTCTACACATGTTGGTGCAGTTATGGAGTCTCCCTCTCTTCTTCATACTTAGTTAGGTCATTCAAGCCTTGTCAAGTTACAATAGCTTGTCCCTGTCTTATCCAAGTTGTCTAGTTTGGTGTCTGAGTCGTGTTAATTAGGCAAACATAGTCGTACTTCTTTTTTTCTTAGTGTCACACGTGGTGCTTCGTTCCCTTTTCTCGTGGTTCACTCTGACATTTGAGGATCTAGCCACGTTAAGTTTACTTTAAATTTTCAATACTTTGTTATTTTCATTGATGATTATTCCAGATGTACTTGATTATTTTTGATAAAAAATCGTTATAAATTATTACATATTTTTTAATTTTTTTTAATGAAATTCAAACTCATTTTGATGTTTTTATTAGAGTTTTGTGCAGTGATAATAACTAGTGAATATCTTTCTTATTTTTTTAAACAATTCATGATTTCTTACATTATTCTCGCATCAAACTTTTTGTACTTATACACCTCAACAAAATGGTGTAGTTGAACCTAAAAATAAACATCTTATTGAAACAATTCGCACTCTTTGAATTCATGAAGAGAAACCATAGTTTAGTTTAAATTTTTATAAAAATAAAAATTGAACAAAAGCAAATCATATTTAAATTATAAATTTAATTCAAGTAATTTTTAGTAAATATAATTTACCTTTAATATAAGTAGAAAATGCAATGTTCTATTAACGATTTCACCGTAAATGGTTTTATTACTTTCCAGATTAATGTGTTTAAAATTTCTTAATGAAGAGTTCTATATATCATTGTTGATTTTCCTATTTGAATTATGTGTTCTCTGAAATATTGTTCAATGACGTTATCAAAGTCCAAGTCTTCAACAAAGAAAGAGATATGTGGGAATTTATTTGTTTTCCTTGGTGAGTGATGTTGATTTTTGTTGAATAGAGGTTGAGAAAATATTTGGACAATGATTATTCCACGTTTTGCATATTTGACTTTACTACTCCTGTTAGAATAAATACAAGTTTTTGTTTTTTTTTTTATAATTAAGAATTAATTAAGGCTAATATTAGAAAGATTGTAAATAATAAAACATGAATAAATTATATAAAAGAATATAACATTATTTAACTTTTACTTGTATTCGTAACACTTAATTATTCATAATCTTTACAATGGAACTCAAAAATATTTGTTCATTTAGAGACCCAAAATGATTTGTGAAATACTTTAAATTCTTGCCAAATCCATGCTATAAATCTGGTCAAAACAGAACTTATTCTTAAAAAACAAAAAATCGTGTTGCAACCACATGCTTTCTGAAATAAAATATATGTAGATTTCGAACGTATTTCTCAATCCTTTTACCTTTAATTGGTTTCAACGTTAATCATACTCAATTAGCAAGAAAACGAAAAGGGTTGATTTAAGTTTCATCATATCTCATAATGTTAAAAAAAAAATAATAATAATAATAATAAAAAAAAGCTTATGCCAAATGGTAATATGAATTAATTTATTGTCCGTAATCTGAGGCTTAAGTTGAAGAGTTGTAAGTTTTAACCTTTCCACGAAGAAGAGTAACCATTCACTCTTTCTATATTATGTTTTTGGTTGAAAAAAGTGATCATGATTTGTTGACAAAGGCACAAAGGAATGGTGAGATTTTTCCTATTTCCATTGCTTTTTTAGATGTAAATTTAAACTTTAGGACTTCAACTCTCCATGTTGACCACTTCAACGGTTCAAGCTTTCCCAAACCAAACGCCAAATCCAATTTTTCAAACTCCATATCTTTTTCCTTTCACACGTTTGGTCTTCAATAATCGAGATAAAAGGTTCCAATTATAAACATGATTTTTCAAAACGATATTGGAAATGAAAATGAAGCTTTCCACAACTTTTTTTTTTTTTAACTATTTTTTGTGAGAATGCAATTTGATTAGATTATATTGGTTTTGCCAATTCTGGTTTGCCCACAACTTGCTGTGGCGTTGTTGTTCTTCGGTCTTTTAAGAAAGTGATGTTGAGCACAATTATTCATCTTGTTTTGGTGTTAATTTATCATGTTTCAAAAATCGCACCCAACCCATAAGTTCAATCAAGAATAAGTTTGAAAATCAACATGTTATTTTCAAAAATTGGATATTAATTTAGCTAGTATAAAATTAAAAAAAATGATATAAAATCATGAAAAAGTTAATTTAATTTTTGGGTTGAAATAGTTTTGGTAGAAAATATTTAAAGATCAAAATTTAAATTTTTTTTAAATATAATATTTTTAGCCTATTACCCACACACACACACACACACACACATATATATATATATATATATATATATATATATATATATATATATATATATATATATATATAAATTTATGTTGATTGTAGTTTTTTTAGAAAAAATATGTGAATTACTCCAAATATTCAGTGCATTAAATTAAATGATATGATAATTACAAATAGTAATTAAATACTTCATCTTGAAATATTGATTACTTATTAAGTCCTGTGTGAAAGTAGGGATACTCTAAATTGGGGAGTCTAAGACTTTTATAAAACTCTCTTCATGAAAAAAATATATATGAACGAAAAATTTCGGGGCCCATAAATCTAAGAAGTAGTGAGAATTCTCTGTTTCTCTCAATTTGAAAATCTAAAATTTGAATTGATGTTCTCTCATGAAATCTCCTAATTAATAATTATTATTTAAAAAAAATAACATATTGTGGTCTCAAAGTTGAACCTAGAGATTTGAGGATATAAAAAAATACTAAAAATAATATAATATTTATTAGAGAGATATAAATTTGAAGTTTACAATCCTCAAACAATGCTAGTATAAGCATGTCTTATTTTATCAAAATTAATAAACAAATTTTTAACTTTAAATTAATTATAATCAACTCAGTGAATAAAGTCATTTGATTGTAAATGCAGAGAATTATATAAAACTTAAGATAATAATAACAAGATAGAAAAAAAATGGAAAGAAAATATTAAAGAGAAAAATATGATAGTTGCATATTTGATCTTAAAAGAATGAAAGAATGCAAACACTTTGAAACATGGGTTAAGATGGATGAGTTGAAAAAGAGAAGACAATGATGAAATGGCGACGTGAAAGGTGACCAAAATGAACAGCGGAAACTCGATGATGAAACAAACCATTTGGCATGCCGTACCCACCATGAGCTGGATCATACACGAATGACATATAGGATGCCTTCGACTGCAATGCAAATGGGTCCAATCTTCCACAATCGTACAATCCAATGTTATGCATTATTTGCTTCAACTCACCACCTCTCTTTCATCCATTCCCTAATATTTCCTTATACTTCGCAAATGTATTACATCAGATGTTTTCAGATTATCTATATGCTCCATGACAAAAAATCTGTTCAAACCTCACATATTACATAATTAGAATGAATATGGGGTTTGGAGAAGAAAGTTGAATCACTTCTCGTCTGAGCTTGCAGTGAGGTCTTTGGTTTTGTCCGATCATGTTTTTCTGAAGAAATACGGAGGATCTTTGAATATAGTTAACCATTTTCTTCGTCTAACTTTTAGAATATTTTGGATAGTAAAGAAATAAAGATAAGGAAACCTAACATAAATTTAAATTATATTTAGTTACAATGATTGATTTTAAGAAATGTAAAAAGTATGTGAGCTTGATGATAAGCATATAACAACGAAGAAATTTGTTTGAAAGATATTTGAAACTTAAATTTTGAATTGAGTATTAATATGTTTTAAATTGACAAGTTACTTAAATGATGAGATATTGGATATGTGACTTTGTTGAATGTGGTATTTTAATGTGTTAGGTTCTAATATGATGTCTTAGTGGTCATATATTAAAATTGAATTGTTATTAGATTTATGAAGAATTTAATTTGAAAATTAGTGATTTTTTAGAATTTTTTATTTGTCCAAGAATAATGTGCCTATATGATAAGTTAGTAAACTAAATTTCAATATAATAGTATATTTGATCATATGCATCAAATTGAGTGAAAAAACAAGTTCATTTAGTAGGAATGATGTAAAAATTATAAGATGAGGTTTTCATTAGTGTTTGGAGTAAAAAATCAATCAATATTATGCAATTTTATTAGAACTTTTCAACTCAATTGTGATATGATACAAGGATTTAACTATATAGCTAAAAAAGGAAACGAACTATTAATAATAGAATAATTACTTAACTTGCTTATAACAAAATATAGAATTATAGTAGTAACAAAAAGCTAAACAAAATACTGATTTACAATATGTAATACTCCCTCTCAAGGTGGGTTATGAATATCAAGTTAACTCATCTTGGAAACATTAAGTTCAAAAGGATTGGGAAACAAAGTTTTGGTGAACATATATGTCAATTAATATGTAGAAGAAACATGCAAGAGAACTATGAGACCTTCAAGATTTTTAGAGCGAATGAAGTGGCAATCCACTTCAATGTGTTTAGTACGTTCGTGAAGGATGGATTCTAGTAAGTTGAATAGCAAACTTAGTATCACAGAAGGTGGGAAAAGGCTGAGGAGGATCCAAGGATAAATCAACAACAATGTAATGAAGTCATTGTAATTCACAAACAATTGTGGCTAAGACACGATATTCTGCCTCTATTGAGCTGTGAGATACAGTATTTTGTTTCTTTGACTTCCATGAAATTAAGGAAATCCCATAAAAAATGCAATATCTTGTAATAGATTTACGAGATATGTTGCAAGTTGCCCAATCAGAGTCTGAGAAGGCCTGAATGCGATTGAGGTTATGTACTGGGGTAAAAGAGACCTTTACTAGGAGCACTTTTGAGATATTAGAGGATTTGCATAGTAGCTTGCGAATGGGATATTCGTGATTTTGACATGAATTGGCTCACTTGTTGAGCAACAAAGCTTATGTCTAGTATGGTGTTAGTGAGATAAATTAATTTTCCAATTAATTGTCTGAAACTAGTAGGATCAGGAATAAAATTACCTTCTTCTTTAGCAAGTTTAATAGAGGGAGTAGTAGGAGTGGTAGCAGGTTTACAACCAATAAGACTATAATCTACCAAGAGGGAATAGTAGGAGTTCAAGGCAATATTTTTGTTGATTGATAACCAGACCACGGTGAGATCTTGCAACTTCAATTCTTAAGAAGAACTTCAATTCACCAAGATCTTTAATGCAAAAGTGAGTATGCAGATTCTATTTAATAGTAGTAATGGTGGTATGACAGTTTTCAATGATGACAATGTCATCAACATATACCAATAAAGTTGTGAAGGTATCTTTGGTTTTTTGAATAAACAAAGAATGATCTGCATTGCTTTGTATGAAACCAAATTTTAATAAGGTAGTAGCGAGTCCTTCATTCCATTGTTGGCTAGCTTGTCGTAAGCTATATAAGGATTTTTGTAACTTACAAACAAGATTAGGAGATGATAAGATCAAACTCGGTGGTGGCTTCATGTAAACTTCTTCATGGAGGTTTCCATGCAAAAATGCATTATCAATATCAAGTTGATGAATGAACCAGTAGATAAAATTGCAACAAATAAGAGGAATCAGACAGTGGTCAATTTGACGACTAGAGAGAAAGTTTCAAAGAAATCTATCCCCTCTGTCTGTGTAAAGCCATTGGCAATCAGACTTACTTTATACCTTAGGATAGTTCCATCTGCATTGAATTTGGTTCGATAAACCCAGTGACATCCTACAATTTTCTTCCTTGGAGGTAGACTAACTAATGACTGGGTGTTGTTTTTCTTCAGAGCATGTAACTCAACTATCATGGTTGTTCTCCAGCATTTAAGTTGGCTCGCCTCTTTGAAGGTTATTGGGTTAGATGTACAATAAACAAATAAATAAAAAGTTATATGAGAAGGTGAGCATTTAGAACATGAAAGATAAGATTGTATAGGGTAAGGGTTACTTGAAATGTTGTGAGAAGAGGAAATAATTGGGCAATGATAATATTCAAGTATGAAGGTGGTCTTTTTTGTCTGATTGAGATTCTTACATCAGGTTTCATGATTGTGAGTGAATCATTAGGCAATGATGCATTGTTATCAATAGAAAGATTGATATCAACATTGTCAAAAGAAGTGTTAAAATGCAGATTGTCAAAGGTGAAGAGTGAATGAGTGGTATTGGCAATGTCATTACTGGAATTTGAATTGATTTGATGCAATTTGTCAGATGCATATGAAAAATATTGTTCGTGAAAATGAAGATTTTGAGATATAAAACAAGATTTATTATGAAGACCATATAATAAATAACCTTTAGTTCCTAGTTTAAAACCCAAGAAGATGGATTTTGAACTTCTTTTATCAAACTTTGTTCTTCCAGCAGTCAAAGTATTGACATAGGTTAGGCATCCAAAAACGCATAATTGATTGAGGTTAGGAGATTTGTCATAAACCAATTCATAAGGAGATGTTAAATGTAGAAAAGGAGTTGGAAGTCTATTTATAAGATGAATAGCATGTTTAAGTGTAAATGATAAAAAACAAATAGGCAAGTGAGCTTGAAATAATTAAACACAAGTCACATTTAATATATATTAATGTTTGCATTCCACAATCCTATTTTGTTGAGGAGTCTCAACACATGTAATTTCATGGAATATTCCTTTTGAAGAAAAAAAATCGTTAAGAATAAACTCATTACCATTATCTGACTTTAGTTTCTTAAGTAACTGATTTTCAATTAATTAAATGAATGATGGAAGAGCAATTTTGACACCATATTTGGTTCGTAAGAGATGAATCCATGTAAAACATGTGAAATCATCTGTTAAAAAATATTTGAATCCATCGATTAAGCTAATTCAAACTGAACCCCATATGTCCACATGAATAATGTTTTTTTTTTTTACTTTGCATAATGACATGTATCACAAGGATGTAATGAATCAAAAACAATATTATTGTATTTGGAAGTCAAATGTTGAAGCATTTTATTTGAAGTGTGTCCTAATTTGAAATGCCATAACATGAATGTATCATTAGGCATTACATTAGATGTATTTGAAAAAACAATACAAGAATTGCCTATTGATTTTGAGTCATTGGAGTCGTGTAAGTAAAACAAGTCATTCAAAAGTTTAGCTACACCAATCATCTTGGAATTGATTTTCTCAATAATCAAGTAATGTGAGTCAAATAACATAAACATGTAACCAATGGTTGAAACAAGCTTAGGAATGGAAATAAGATAGGTAGTAAATTCTAGTACATACAGGGTATCAAAAAGGGCTAAATTACCAATATGAATTGTGTCAGAATAATGTGCCTGGATAGTGGTATAAGTTGGCAATTTTATTGTGATAGGTGGTATAGGTGTTAATGATGAAAAAAAAAATTTAGATGGACAAATATGATTCGTTGCGCCACTATCTAAGATCCAAGGATGAGAATTAGAAACAATACCTGTTTGGTGAGTGGTAGAGGTTTGGTTGTGGTTGGTCAAGGGAGAGGCAATCTTGGTTTGCTATAAAAGAGGCAAAATAGTTTGGTATTGGTCCTTTGAAAAACTATGTTGGTCATGATTAGTGTTATCTGCCACATCATATTGTTGTGAAGATGAATCTGAATTAACTTTAGCCAAACTAGTAGAAGTACTAGAAAAACTGTCATGACTATTTTCTCGATAGCCAGTAGGGAAACCAATTCTCCAATAACAAGTTTCTATGGTATGGTTAATTTTCTTGCATTTTTCACAAAAATTGGTGTTCTTTGAATTATTCTTGCCAAGATTGTTTTGTTTATTCAATCCAGTAGGTATTTTAGTTTGGTTTTGAGACTTATTATCAAACAATTGTGTTAATGAAGAAAGAAGAACGGTTGAAGAATCAGTTTTTGGTTATGTCCTTATAAGATAGCTAGGTAGTTATGTGAGTAGTTTTTTTTTTTTTTGTAAAGCCAAATGATACGACCAATTCTCCAATAACAGGTTTCTATGGTATGGTTAATTTTCTTGCATTTTTCACAGAAATTGGTGTTCTTTGAATTATTCTTGCCAAGATTTTTTTGTTTATTCAATCCGGTAGGTATTTTAGTTTGGTTTTGAGACTTATTATCAAACAATTGTGTTAATGAAGAAAGAAGAACGGTTGAAGAATCAGTTTTTGATTATGTCCTTATAAGATAGTTAGGTAGTTGTGTGAGTAGTTTTTTTTTTTTTGTAAAACCAAATGATCTAATATTTGTTAAAATAAAAAAAGGTAAAAAGTTAAAACTAATCAATTATGTTAAAACTAAATTTGTTTTAATCGATTAGATAAGTACTTAATCAATTATAAGAC